CTAAGTACGTTAAAGTAAGCTCTTCGTTAAATAGCACACGATAAAACATTTTGTTCCTATTTATTATGAATTTCTTCGTTACATAAATAACGAGCACATAAAATGTAAGCGAAGAATATACTTAAATTATGAATATACTATACTTAAATGACTTACTTAATATAATTATTTAAGTATAATGAATACACTTAAATTTAATCAAGAACTAAACCTAATTTCCAGCATTCATTTATTGAGATAAATATTGCCGTTGTGTATGTCTATTAGTTTAAAAAAAACTCGAATTACAAAGTGTTTGGAAGAAAGCTACCAAACGACAAGTAATAAAACTGCAATTTGCAATCAATAAAAAAATATTTAGTGTTTTTCAATACTACACTATTAAGTATGGCATAGTTATAGATTACCATATTTCATAGTAATGCTAATGTTTCCTTAACACTATTTTTCGATCATATGCGCATAGTCTGAGCACCAACCTGTATCATGAACACAATAATCGATTAATATGAATGATATACGCTATAGCACTTAGGACGTTATAACCGAATCCGTGTATCCAAATATAACGATAATCCGTGTATCCAAATATTGCACCGCTGGAGCCACTGAAGATTGAAAAACCGCAATATAATTTTAATCACCGGAAAGTCATAAAACATCAAAACAGAACACTATTTAACTGTATAGACGATTTTAGCACGTTGCAAGCAGATATTCACAAAAAATTTCCTCAATTCTCCTCAATTCAAAATAAACTGCCATCATTATATTTTTGTACGTTGTTCTCTTTCTGTATTGAAGCTCTCCAGTATTTAATTCCGACGGTGAATTACAAAAGCGTGAAGAAAATATTCCTGAAAATAAGATGGAGTCAAATTATCGCGCAGTTACTAACTTGTTCCGTTACTAACTTATTCGAATTTGGTAGCTAGCCAAAGTGCGCAAGCCTTGAGCTCATATGTTCGTTTATATAATCATCCAGTAAATAATATACATGGAATGTCGAACAGCAATTCAGTGCAACGTTTCAGCGATTTATTCGATTGCATTAAACCTTTCGACGGTTTTTCTGATAATTTAATAGAATCTTTTTAAAATGGTCTAGAAGAATTATTTCAACTGAATAGAATTACGAACTATGTTCACAAAATACGAAATTTACAAAAAAAAATATTTACCGGGTTCGCTAAAACATTTGTAATGTCAATGTCGCCAAATCCCGAGTGTACCGTAATAATAGGATTAAACCAAGCATTTTTGAATGCACGGGGAAAACGTAAAAACATAACAAACAGTTTATCAGAATTTTTTTAGGTAATGAATTTCGTAATTTTGTTCACAGTTTCTCTAATTTTGATGTCAACATTTATTAGTAATTTATCAAAGCCATTAATTTTGTCGTTTTCCATTAATTGTTAATATTTCTTTCTCCTTTTCCATTAATTTTTCCTTTCTACTTGTCCTGACCGTCGATGAGTTTTTCGTTATATATATCGGACAGACTTGAAAATGCATGGATATGCATCGTCTTTTAACATTGGACATTTTCTCGGAAGTCTTAAAATCGTCCTATCTTTATCCGTGTATACATCTTCGCGAAAATTGTACTTTTTGCTCTGTATGCGGTAAAATGTTTCATATTATGTCAGCATATTAATTCAAATAAATTCTTCCTTACTTCAAAAATAATAAATAAAGTCATATTTTAGCAGTGAAATAATTGCTAACATGTGATTTGCATTGATTTCGGAAATATAATTTTTTTAATATATAAAATGCATAACTTCTTATAGAACATAAAATGCAACTTACTTTATAGATTAGTTTCATTTTTAAATACTTGTTATAATATTTATAAAAAATATTTTAAGTATTAATTATTTTTCAAAATTTTAAACAATAATTTAGCACGTATTTTAGTACTAATTAAATTTAATAATTCAAGTATATATATATTAAATTTATATTTCATTAAATGAATCTACTTTAGATTAATATATTTAGATGAAATAAAGTAATGAAACATCACAAAATAAATCTTATGCCGACTTCAGATTCTTGAAAAGGCAGATTTAGTCTCTTTTCATTCTAAAAGTAACGCTGATGAACTATGAAAAAGATGCTAACACGACCACGTCTAAAAGCGGTCATATCATGACGTTTCAACGACGTCGACAAATTGCCAAGATGCAACGGCAAATATTTTGCGTCTTCGCAACGTTGTAAAGACTTCGTAAAAGTTACCACGACCACTTTGCAACCTCTCGGACCAGTTTGCAACGTCGTGTGCTACTTGGGAAAGGTTAGGAAATAAGTCATAAAAGTTCTCCAAAATCTCTACTTCCTTCGCGAGACAGAATAATTTTAATGAGAACGCTCTATAAATTATGAATATTTTGTCACATTCCTTGATTATAAAAGGAAAACACTGCTAGAAATAAGTATGAAAACATCACTTTATAAGGTATTTTTCTTCCACTTTCTCGCATGACTTCGTAGTGTAACTGGAAGCCCCCCCTCAGTGTTTATTTGGGAGGTCCGGTGTGCGAAGTTCTGCATATTTTTCCCTTTCCTGCATTAATATATAACAATGATATACAACTTTACATCTTCCTAATTTATAAGTTTAAAAGCAATTTATGTAAGACCTATACATAAGTAGCCCAAACTTATATTTTCAAAACTAAAGATAAAATAAGTAAACGATAAAAATTTGAAAAACTTTTAGATTTTAACGGTTGCCTAATTTTTAATATGGTGTATCAGTAGAAATTATCAGTAGAGACGACTCAGGGGGTATAACGAAACGTTTTACAGGATACTAGTTGAATGTACATTTAGACTAACATAAGAACGTTATATTCTTCTGTACATTTGAAAAGTGAAAAAATGTATAATATTCTTATAAAAAAATATTGAATGTTTTTAATTATATCATTCTATTGTTGTAAATTAAAAGCATTTTTATTTAAATCAACCAGAAGAAAATGTAAGAGAAATAATATTCTTAAGAATTGCAACTATCCTTTTTAAATAGCCTATTATGTTAATCAGTAACAGCCAGATTAAGTATGAGATAAATATCTTACCTTTTCTCGTATGGCAGCAGACGTGAATGAAAAGTGAAAAAATACGTTAACAAAAGACAGTATTTAAAGTGAATAAAAGAATTTACATTAAAAGCAAAATCGTGTTTAGAGACTATTAGGCTTTTTGGGCTAATAACTTAAAACAAAAGACTTCTCACTGTTTAAAATTATAACAGAAACTCGTAGACAATTAAAACTCTAGACCAGTGATTTTAAAAATTGAGTCACGTCATTTTGGTATGATGTGAAAGTGTTGTAAAATTGGAATGGAAGTTCTAAAAGGGTTTAAAAACGGTTAAGCAAAATTTTCAGAAAGCAAAAAGAATCCTTGAAATGTATTTTATAAGCACACTTTCTTATTAAGCTTTGGTAAGTGTGAATACAATAAAAATTTAATAACTGTGTCACTAAGAAACTTCTGTTATTCTGTATTTTGACGTTATTCTTGATATCAATCGACAAGGAGCGTCAAAAGTGCCCTCAGCAAGAGTTTCCTAACTTATTTGAATCGAAATATTACTATACATCACTATAAATTTTTATTATACAGTAGCTTAATTTATTTAAAATTTGATTTTACTGTTTTCTGTTAAAGAAAGGAAGCGCTTCTGGTGTAAGAGAGAGGATGGGAAGGAAATATTTGATGTAATTAAACTTTGTAACATCACTTTATTCTATGACTTTTTAATGATACCTCAATTTAGCCACTGATGCGAAGAAAAATGACAACATAAATCTGAAAGTAATTTCTCTTTAATCTGTTATAAGTACTGGTTTATAACAATAATACAGTAGGTAAATTTTTAATTAGTTTTCATTTGCTGAGACATAAAATTTTACCTTATAAGGATGTGCCTGCAAAGTTTCACTCCCTCGGTGTTCAGTGAGGTTAAATATCAAAATCGGCTTGCTGTAGACTTATGCTTCTTCCTTCGTTTTTTAGCCCACCAGCGGCCGAGCGGTAAAATCACTGAACACTGGTAGTTCGGTCCGAGGTTTGAATCCCGCGAACCGGCTAGCTGCATGGGTGTTTTCGTGGTTTTCCCCATGTGTAACTTGTATACGAGCCAGTTTCCCCTAGAAAGTCCTACACGAAGGCATCCCTCCCCTTAGGCGGATAGCCCTCGAGGCTTTGCCGTAATTAAATAACGTAACCTAATCTAACCTTAGATTTTTAGTTCTGAAGCTAGAAATCCTTGTTTATAAAATTTCATGTATTTTCGGTTTTAATTTGTTATTTTGAGATTTCTGCATGATTGAATCAAACGGGATTATCTGCTACGGCCATGAAAAGTTAATTTAATTGAGATTTTGTTTTTCAAAACCTGAATTTATTCTAAGAAACTTTTCAGTATCCTTAGTTTTTGGAACTGTTGCGCATAAATACACATCTTTCTTGCCCAAAACAAGATCACAAGATACAGTTGATTGTCTTAGCATGAGTCTAATAAGATCTTTATTCCGAGAAACTTAAAAAAAGAATCTAAATATACATTTTAGCTAGATTCTATACACATTATCCTTGTTTCTGAAAAACTTAAAGAAAGTTAATAATCATTGCATTTCTAGACATGAACTTCATGTACCCTGAAAAAGTACAAGTTGTTTTTTATAACTATAATTGTCAGTAAAATTAATATATTGTCATTAAAACAACAAAGATTTACAGAAACTTAAGGAGTGATTGTTTTTTGCTTTTCAATCAGATATCTCAGTTCTAATTTATAAAATTCATGTCATAAATTTCACAATGCTAATTTCATTTAAAATTTATAGTTAGTTACCTTCGCTTGCATTTGATTGCAAAGAACTGGCCTTTGTCCTTGCCATAAGAAAGTTTTACTGACTGTATCAGCCACTACCTGTTTGAAAGGTTTGTACTGTTTGAAATTTGTTTCTTCTTTGCAGTGTGCGGTAGAAGTTCAACCACAACAAGTCGCATTGTAGGAGGAGAAGATGCTGCTTTTGGACAGTTCCCTTGGCTGGTAATATTATTTACTCAACGGCTAACATTTGATTTTTAATGATTAACGTTTCACACTAACATTCGATACACACTATAAGCACTTTACTTCTTTTAACATTCTCTAACAATTAATATTTTATTGTTTCATTGTAAAATTAATTTCAATTTAAAGTAATTAAATTACTTTCATTATAATTCTATTTATAAAGGTTATAACTCAAAACAAAAACTTCGAGGCCACTTTTTTTAACCTTACTAATATTTCAATTACAAAATTGTAATGTTTGTGCAAAAGTTTATGTATGAACCATCATGGTTTATGTATGACTTCGTAGCATGCAAAACCGTTAAAAATGTAAATTTTATTCATTGCATATGCTACAAAACTTCGTATTTTTAAGTTAATATACGCCGATCTTGAGATAAGTAGGTAACTAATTCAGCAGTTACGTCAAAGAGGAAAAAGTCAAATAAACAAAAGCTTGAAAATGGCCTTTAAGCATAGGAATTTCTAAGGAAAATTGTTCATATTTGTGTACAATATAATTTATACAGAAAGTCACATAGGAACTCAGACAATTAGTCTGTTACTGTGAGTATCCGAACACGAGTAAAATCCAGTAGTTCTTTGTATTTATACCCCTACCAGTGCCCTAGTGGTTAAGACCGCTGAATGCTTGGTGTTCCATCCGGGTTCGAGCCTAGGCTAATCGAGTGGCTATATTGCTTGTTTTCGTGGTTTTTCTCCCATGTAACTTGAATACAAGTCAGTTTTTCTTACGAAGGTTCTCAGGGAAAGCATTTTCCTTAGTAGGCTATCTATATTCAGATAATCTAATCTAACCGTTTTATATTTTATTTTTATACTCATTGTCAAACCTGAAACACTACATTCAAATAACAAACTCAGTGAGTAATTTAAAACTCCTTTGCTCTTAGCACTTCTCAGAGAGATTTGCGTGTTTAATTAGTTAATTCACCTTTATTTTTTATTATTATTATTATTATTATTATTATTATTATTATTATTATTTTTTTTGCCAACTTTAAAAAAAATTATTCAAATGCGCGCGCAGCATAGTTTATTTCTTTTTTGATAATATAAATAAAGTCGATTTTAATATATTGGTAAGAAATAAGTTATTTATCTCACAATTACTGCTAGTAACGCAGCTCAGTGTTAATTAATAAACAGAATGTTGAAAAACAGAAACATGTATATATATATATATATATATATATGTTATATATATATATATATATATATATTAAAATATTAAAAAATTACAAAAATTAAATTTATAAAATGCAAATAGTTCTTTTTAGTTAATTTTACTCAGCCAAGTTCATTACACTGGGATTTTGTTACTGTAGGAAAAACATAAGTGCCTCTAATCATCTATTAATATTATTGTTGACTTCATTCTTTTAACGGGGCCACCAGCGGCCGAACGGTAAAAATGATGAACACTGGTAGTTCGGTCTGAGGTTCGAATCCCGCTAACGGGCTGGCTGCATGTGCACTTTCGTGGTTTTCCCGGTGAGTAACGCGTATACGAGACGGTTCCTCTTAGCAAGGCCTCTACAAAGGCATTCCTCTCTTTAGGCAGTTAGCCCTCGAGCACTTTGCCATAATCAAATAAACCAAACCAAAACCATTCCTTTAACACTCACGAATTAATATCTCCAAACCAAAATAAGAAGCACTAATAACAATAATAGTTAACATCACCAAAACTAAAAACAGGCATATCCAGCTACAGCCATACTAGCATTTGTAACCTGAGTCCTAATATAAAACTCATATTTGCATATCATTTCCGAATATGAAAAATTTTCCGGCAGTTGTAAAGTGAAACATGCCAATGAAGATAACATTTCTTACTAGCGTAAAACGATCTAACGGCAATTCTATGTCATCTAATTTATTGCTAACAAAGGATAAAACAGAAAATAAACAAATACCAAAAAATGCTTTTAAAAGGGCACCGGCTGTGATTTTAAAATAATGTAAAATTTTAAAGATCTCGGGATCATCAAAAAGTATTATTTAAAAAGCAATTGTTTGAAAATGTTAAACGGGTAGTTCACAATTTCATATCAAGTAACCATAAGCAGCAAACATTAAACAGAGCATTCTTAATGCCGTTTCGCTTACCAGTGATATAGAAAATGAGACATCTGAACACTGATATGCAAACAAGGCTCCAATCCAGACGAATGAGGGAGTATCGTGATTTTTTTCTTCATGTAACGTAAATATGAGCCAACAATCACAAAGTCTGACATCCCATCGAACGTATTTTCCCGTAGACGATCACCAAACAACGTAATTTAGCCCCGATTATGGATAAAAGTAATATCACAACACGTTCATAGCATTTGAGTTTTAGTTTTACATAACCACGGATAAATAACTGGAAAATGAAAAATCGTAACAAAAGAATATGAATTCGAAAATGAACATGGTCCGAAGGCTGCCAGATTTGTAACTGCACTCCAGTTCATATACAGCTGTTTGAGAAAATTAACAACTGTTGAATGGTGAAAAGAACAGCTGAATAAGGCCGACAAAATAGTAATAGACTGAAGTAGTTATCGCAGGAATTTTGTACTCGTAACATTCTAAGCAGTGCATTTCGATAAAACCGGAAGAACTAGTATAACAGTAGTAGAAATCGAGGAAAGCTATTTTACGAGAATCGCAAAAACGAACGGGTCGAATACTTTCGCAGCGGTGGCTATTTGGTGGATTGTCCAGAGAGTGATGAATGCTTTATTGTAAGAGCTGGCAGATAGAAATGCTGTTCAGAATTTCACAGGAGCGATTAGCGCAACTCTGGTGGGATCTCTGCCAGTTTTCGTGGTTCGATGGTAGCCAAATTTTACTGTCAACGGTATAATACGTAAGTATTGAAAGTCCTCCACAAAGGTACCTTTCCAATAAAGTAGATAATACGCTTTGCCATAATCAACTAAAAAAATAATGCATGTTTACAAATTTTGCAATTGCACGATGAAAATAAAAAGAACATGGGCCATTGTCGTTGAGTTCGAAGAGTCGTTTAAAAGTAACTGTACCTAAGATTTTCGAAAATGTTTGAAACCTAAGGCTTTAAAATGACCGTAGAAAAAATAATGAACTCTATTCCCGAATTGTTGTCTGAAACGTTTAAAAGAATAATCATAAAAATAAATTCATGTCTTCCCAAAGCATGCTGCAAATAATAAATATAGGTATTATAATGATTGCGGTTATAATTTTATTAAATTTTATTTGTTACAGATATTAAGATGAAGTTTAAAATCATATGACACTGATACTACCTCACTTACTGGAGTATGCCTCAAGCGTGATGTGATGTATTTAATTAATGCAAAGCACACTAGGGCTATCTTCCTAAGGGAAGGGATGCTTTCGTGGAGGACTTTCTAAGGGAAACTGGCTTGTATACACGTTACACATGGGGAAAACCACGAAAACACCCATGCAGCCTGCCCGTTCACGGGATTCGAACCTCGGACCGAACTACCAGTGTTCAGCGACTTTACCGCTCGGCCGTTGGTGGGCCGGAGTATGCCTCAAGCAAACATCAGGATTATCAAACATCAGACTTCAAGTCATTAGAAAAATTCAATTTCTAACTACTTTAAGCAACCACAAACAAACCTCTCAGAATTCAGTTCTGTTACCATTCTGATTTCTCAATTCCAGAAGACTTCTAACTCATAAGCGTTAGCTCATGATCATTAATGTAGTGCATGTATTATGTTATGCATTATAGTTTTAACATTTCCTGTAATAAGAAAGATTTCAAACGAAACGCAGAAAATGCTTACGTGATTTTCTTAGTATATGCTATCGGATGCCATTTATAAAGCAAAGATTTCATTTGATACGTATTTCGTAAACATGATGTCCACGAGCCGGTCCCTGTCCCCATGCAACTAAAACATCTGCTCAGTGATGTGAGAAGATTTCTCATATTTATTTAAAGATGCTGGAAAACTTTAGCTCTCTTATAAATAAATAAGAAAATGTAGTTTTCTAGGTTTAAAAAAAGAGGGCGCAAGAAAACGAGTTTGTGTTCAAACAAAAAAAATTTAGGCACTAATTTTTAAAGAATTTAAATATTTCAGTGATTCGAGAAAGAAAATAAATACAGCATACAGGTATGCAGAATGAAAAGACACACTGATAGTTTGACCCGGATTCAAACTCCGCAAACCTGTTGACTGCATAGGAATTATATAATTTTTCGGACTTGTAACGTCACTATGAGCTTTCCCTTCCTCTGAAATGTCGCCAAGCCTATACAGTCCGAACCAATCTTTCTAGCTGAGCAGTTCCCGAATTGCTAAAACTGCGAAACATTGGCAGTTCGTCTCAGATTCTATTCTGCCGGTTGAATGGATTTTCTGTATTAGATTTCCGTTTTTTCCCTCGTGTGGAACATAAATATGGGTCAATTTTCCTTAGAAAATCCTCCATTAAAGCATTTCTCAGCATACAAAAATTTCAGATTATATGATCTGTGCTAGTATGAATGCCATGTTCGGTTAGTCGAATGCTTAATTGCTTTAAATATAATTATGCAAAATATTCCATTCTGTTAAATTTTATCGTTTTTATGTTCAAACTTTTAGTAGCTCTTGTAATGTTTAATGATCTCTGAGGTGGGAAAAGAACAGATTTCCCTTTAAAGTTTGTAGGAAAGAAAGATTTTTCTAGCTAGCATGACTTGCAAAAAGCTAAAATTATTAATAAGTATTGCTATAGCAAAATATTAACAAATAAATAAATACGCAGTTTATAATAAGATTCGCTCCAGTAGTTAGCTCTTCCACTACCCACTAGCTCTTCCAGTAGGATATCACTTTCCACTCCAGTAGTTAGCTCTTCACTAACGATGTGCTTTTTAATATTCGGTTACATTAATAGATAGAGAAAGAAAATGGCATTATTAGGTACATACAAAGTATTAATCATGCAGCTAAACTGCGGTTCAGTTAACATAT